GCTACTGAAATCATCAGTGGTCTGAGGGCTCCTCCTCTGGTGGCTTCATGTTAGTGTTCAGGCTCTGAAGGTTTTTGTTCAGGTCTACTGATGGTTTGTGTTACTGTGGGTCTCTGGCACAGTAATACACAGCAGTGTCTTCAGGCTGCACATTCTGTCCATTTAGAGTCACTGTGTTGCTGGAAGAGTCTGTGGAGATGCTGAACTTGTTTTTGAGTGAATCTTTAACAGTTGTGTCGCTACTCATCCACTCCAGTCCTTTCCCTGCAGGCTGTCTGATCCAAGCTGTGTAGTAGCTGCTCACAGAATAAGAGACCTGACAGGTGATGGTCAGACGTTGACCTGGCTGCACAGTCACAGAGGCTGGCTGTGTCAGCTGTTCACACTTCACACCTGTTAAAAGAAGAAAATGTTTTGTGACAAATTATAACATTGTCCCATAAAAGAAGATAAAGACAAATACAGAGAGACTCACATGATCCAGCTGCCAACAGCAGCAGCAGAGCTACAGAGAACATGGTTAATGCTGACAAAGATGTGCTGTGAACTCCTCTGACAGTCTGATGGGAAGGTTTTATAGCTGAATGACCAGGAAGTCACAGAGTTTGCATAGAATCCAATATTTGAAGCATTAATGTTGGTCTATCTGGAGCCAGTTGAAGTGTCTGGTCAGTGTCATTATAGTTTCCTGCAGCATAAAAACATGTTTGGAAATCACGTCTGCCTTATGTATCATGTTTTCATTTTATTAAATTGTGTCACTTTGAAAATGTCCCTACATTTACAGTAGAGTAATGAAACAACTGCTCCCTGGTTCTGTAAACATTAATTCTTAAATAAACTAAAAAATTATAACAAAGACAGGTAAATATTTAATTCTCTCATGGAGAAATGTAATTAAATTGTCTTTATGGTCTTATACACTGTAGGTAGCTTTATTGTCTTCTTGTATGACTTTAGACTTCACAGGTGTTTGTAAAGAATTTAAATTAAACTATTATGTGTGGTTTCCTTATTTGAGTATTTATTTATTTTAAAAGAGGTGTTTCTGAATTACCTTCTCATGAAATGTAAATTTAGATCCCCGTCATACCTCAGTGTGTTTGTGATGAATTATTTTACCTGTGGTTGTTTATAATGTGTGACCTTTCAAGTTCCATCAGCTCAGTATGAATGACAAAAGCACTGGTCAAAGTCTTCAGCCACAAATCTCAGGAAGTGTTTCTAACAGCAGGTTGTTCACTGTCTTTCACTGTTTCATAAGAACAATTGAAGACTTCACCTATATTCATTTAATACAAAGACAGTAATTTCAGCATCACCGTCTTAACACCTATATTATTGTTGTGTTTAGTGTTTATTCATCATTTTTCCTCCAGGATAGGCTTTATGAATTTATGTAATGCAGAGTGTCACCTAAAAACATAATAAAAAAGATAAAACAAATATTTACTTCATTATTGAGCCC